AAAGTCAGTCTGTTCGAAATATCTCGACTAGTAAAGAACCTGCTGCATTCGAATTTGTTTTAAATAAAAAACGAGGCAAATAAAATATTCTGTAGAGACGGCTATTATTAGAAAAAAAGGATATGATATCGTAAAACCGAAACTTGTAATTGATTACAATGAAGCCAAGAGTTTCGTTGACATTTCTGATCAAATGACAGCATACAGTATTCCATTACGCAAAACTGTCAAATGGTATAAAAAAGTAGGATATTATATAATACTCAGCAAAGGAATCCTATATCAATAGTAGAATTTAGAAAACGATTAACTAATTATTTATGTTACCGTGAGGATGAAAACAACAGCTCGTCTTCTGAAATTGCGACAAACTCTAGAAAACGACATGAAATTAAAAAGCAAGAGGGCAAAACGAGGACAGGTAGACAACGTTGCAGTTCTTGCTATAAACAAAATGTAAAAAAATTTGGTACTGTCGTAGCAAGACAAAAAACTACAAGAATAATGACGTTTTGTAGCGATTGCCCGAAAAAGCCGTTTTTATGTACCTCTTGCTTTAACAAAATCAACCATACATGTAATTATTAATTATTGTAAATATAAGAATTAAACAAACTTATGTGCTTTGTTCTACACTGCATTTTGTATAATGCCTCAATCATTTAGTAGAAGTATTTTTTTACAGAATTAAATTTGTCATAAATATATATTTTCAGCGCATTAAATAAATATGCCTGAGTGTACCACCGGTGGTACACGTGGCACGGAACGTGTTAATAATTCCCTATACAAATCTATCTATGACCACAGACGAGGCATACGAGTAGACTTGTCACCTTATGGACTTTCGTGGCCCAATCTGACTGCCATACCGACCTGAAAATTCGGAGGTGATTTTAGCGTCCTCTTCACATGGATGGCGGTCAGTTGAGAAACTATTCACTGAATTAGTATTAATAGGAGAGCAGCTGTAGTGTTGCGTAAATGCATGTAAGTTGACTATGGAAGAGATTAAAATTCATTTCTGAATCTGTTGGTAACGTTGCGAATGACACGAAAATGGTAATGGGGGTTTCGAGACCCCATAAAAATAGGCCGCAAAATACATTGGATGAAGGATCTACTTCTATACCTCATCTGTGACAATACTCTAGAATCTTTGATGAATCAATGAGAATCAAAACTAACCTAGTGAAGAAGCTCTATATTTATGATGACCTATGCAAGGCGGATCGCAGCCAATTTGCTAATATTATTCAGTTTTTAATTAATAATTGCATTACCCAGCTAAGAGTGATACGATTATTAATTAAACGCTAAATAATATTACCCAGGTCTCACCACGTGGAGGTTGCTGCGGATGGAGACCCGCCCTAACCGATTCCCAACCACCCTCCATTAATAAAAATCTTCTGTGACCATCGATCGTTGGTCGAAGAAGAAACAAATGAAAGTGCAACCAACGAAAGAGTTTTTTGAGAAAGAATTTGCCTCAAAACAGAGAAATAGACCAAAATATTGCCTGCCCGATATAATGATTAATATAGAGAACCAAACTCCTGCCTAACTATAAATCTAAATTCATTTACATCCTACCTATCTAATCATCTAACAAAATACATAGAAAATATATTCTTCCTTGTTGATCCTACGACGAAGATTTCCTGAAACATACTGTTACATTCTACCTAACTATAAATCTAAATTATTAAAACATAAACTAAGCAATCTGAAACAAAATACATGAAATACATTCATCTTTCTTCTATCTTCTATTTATCCCACGATGATTTCCTGAAACACAAACAAAACAATATCGAACAAAATTGTAACAATTCTTAATTGTTACTTCTATAACCCTGAAACTTCCATAGGAATATGCTCTGTAACAGAAACTTGTTTAATAGATTAGTAAGAGAACAAACAAAAATTTGACACCTGCAAGAAGCATATGCCCAACACCGAATCTGTAAAACTACAAATACTACAACTACAGGCAAGTGCAGTGAGAAAGTAAAAATAGTATATGTATAATATACGAGGTTACTTTGACTCTAAAATGTGTTCGTCGCGAAATATCTTCTTGCACGTCAATCTAATGATATATTTTAATAAGTAAAGAAAGACTTTGGGTATCTTCGATATCGAAGATACTCAAACTCGTCAACTCAATTATGAAAGTGAATTTAATTATTGAAGAATGTAAAGAACAATCGGAAGCTACTAATTTGACACTCGTTCTAAAATTAATATAATTATAAGTATTATAAAAGATATTAAAATCATGACTCTACTTTCGATCGATATTACGATGTTTGTCATATTAAAAATTGCGGCGTGTAAAAACATCGCACGCTTAAATAAAACGCGATGCGACACGTGCTCATAGCGTGCAGTGAGTGTGGGTATCAAATTGATCAACCCCGGCCTTGATTATCAGAAAAGCAAGTCACGCCCCTGACCCATGTCTATCGGGCTTCTCTACGTACAACTGCCGGGTCCTGGAGGACACACGATCACAACAGGACCCGCTTAGTACTCGAGAACGGATATGAGTCAAGAACTCTCACCGGAGGTCATTCTCTTTACCGTATAAAGAGGAGAATATATGCGCTCGGTGAGGCCCCACTTAAGCTGAACCAAGCTGCACCGGGGTTGAAGCGGTTAGAGCTATTACACCTAATACACAGGTGTCACATGTTTCATTCTATCAAACAGAGGTGATCGAGCAAAACTCTCCGGGTCCTTTCAGTCGAGACATAATCTCGGAAAGCGAGAACCAGAGAACAAGCGAACGAGAGAAAGTGATACTACTCATATATGTTGTATGTACTCATTATATATTCATTTTAAAATGAGTGTCAAATTAAAAATAATTGAATCTACTATGACATTTGTTATCTTAAAAATCGCGGTGTGCAAGAAGATTATGATTTTAAGCAAAAGGTACTAACTACACTTGCCAAAGAGAGCACGTATACAACCAGTCGAAGCTTAACCCCTTGCCTTACGATTTAATTTCCAACTGTGCGTGCCAAAAGCGACACCAAGGTTTGGCCCGGTAGACTTATCACATCTCTGAGACGTCTTATTCATGTTTGGCCGGGTAGACTTATCACGTCTCTGAGACGTCATTGTAAGCTAAGGGGTTAAAAAGGGGTGAAGGTAAATCAAAACTAATATTTATATTAGTGAGATATGGTAAGAAATTTAATAAACACTTAAAAATGATCTACCACCTAGCTCAAGGGAATTGAACAGAGTATATTAGCAAAATGTTACAAGAATTTAAGCTGAATCGTAAAAATAAAAATCTTATATTAATCAGTGTCATCGAAACAAATATGGTATATGCATCGACACTATGGTATACATATCAAAAGGAATACTCTTATATTCATCAGTGTCATCGAAACAAATATGATATATGCATCGACAGCATGTTATACATATCAAAACGAACATTCGTAATTGTAATGAAAGAAACTTGGATCGAGATACCAAGTTGAATCAACACCAAACAATCAAACGAAATGGAAGAATCAAACAAAGTACCTCCGTAGAATATTACGAGAATTCGAGCAAGAATATAATATTACATTATTATATCCTGCAATAATATACATATCAAAGCAGTCACATAAATTCGAAAAACAATGTAAAAGTAGAAACAGAGAAAAGGAACATTCATAATAACCAAATAAAATCAGATAGATAAATAAAGTTGAACTCACATCAAACAAACAAATAAAAATAATAAAATATAAATAAATGGAGCAGACTTACTACTTGTTGTCAGTACATAGGGTAGTTACCACTGGGCCAGCTGTAAAGTAAGAAAATATTCATATTATAGCAACGTCAGTTGGACAAGCAAGGCAAAATCAGTTCATTGAAGCAAAATTGGCATCAAACGATAGAATAGAAGAGGGGAGAGAATTTTTAAACAGTTCTTACCACAGGCCATCACCGTCCGGCACTGGTCAGTAGTGGTCAGTCATGGTCAGCTCTGGCCAGTAGTGGTCAGCTCTGGCCAGTAGTGGTCAGCAGCGGCCAGCAGAGGTCGGCAGCGGTCCCCGGTTCACTTCTGGCTGTTTGTACACTCCCGAATTCGCGACGAGACTGAAGAATTCTTCGCAGTGACCCTGCTTATATGTCTAAGGTGATGAAAGGGTAGGGAGACCAGTCAGAGTCAAAGTTAAAGTTAACAGGTAAGACTGTCTTGTCTACAAAGAAACTATTTCGATTGGTCCCACCTCTTGACCATTTCTGGATCTTCACTGGACCGCTGACCTTGATGTCAACCTCACTGTTGACCACCAGTGACCATAAGCTAGTCATTGTTGATCATCGACCCATTAAAACCATTACGAAGATTAAAGCCTTCTTACGAGGATCCCTTTACAATTTGATGCATGATCTTTTTAACTTTTGTTCCACTTTGGAAGAGTGTATCTCGTTAATTTTTCTTTTTGTACGTCAGTTCGAACAATTGTCATACGTGAGCGAAAAATTCGGAGGTGATTTTAACGTCCTCTTCTCATGGATGGCGGTCAGTTGAGAAACTATTCACTGAATTAGTATTGCTAGGCAAACAGCTGTAGTTTTGCGTAAATCCATGTGAGTTGACTATGGGATTAAAATTAATTTCTAAATCTCTTGGTAACGTTGCGAGTGACACAAAAATACTAATGGGGACCCGGAACATTAGGTGAAAATACATTAGGTGAAAGGTCTACTCGTATACCTCGTCTGTGCTATGACCTCTTGGAGTTTCTGGACCAAGTTTAGAACCACTGTAATAGACATCTATAATTATAAAAAAATAGTAACGAAAAGATTCTAAGCTTGTAAAGATTAAATTGTCTTTTATTTTGCTTTATGAGTTTTGCGATAATACTGTTTTGAAATACGTTCGCAAAAGATCTGTAGTACCGATGGAGCTTTGAATTCCCGAGATCTCCCGCTAGAAGAACATGTGGCGTTCTCGATCACGTAACTTGACATGTTATTGTAACACTGTGCTTTATTTACTTGAATATATGCATACAATTTTGTATATATCAAAAATGATTAAAATTAAGCATCATAACGTGTATCCGATTTACGTGATTTCATAGAATGTTAAAGTAAAAGCTGTTGGGTTATGTTTATGAATACGTTTATGTTAACCTCAAAAGTAATAAGAGTTTTATTTTTACATTCGATTTCTCAATCGTAAACAGTACGTAGTGTTCTCGACAAAATTTTGTACACTCTAGTTTATCTTTGGTAAGTGAGTGTAATACTATATTTACATTTATATGCATGATAGTACACTGTACAGTAAATCTAACCTATACCGTATACGCTTTCTTCGTTTGCTCTGCGTACATTGACGACACTGTTAAACGAATTTCCAGCACTTTTGTATGTTGTAGAGGCTGTTCGATTATGAATCCTGATATTCAACAAAAGATTTCACAATTCGAATCATTTGTTAATGATGTATTGAAAGAAGATCTAGCTAAACTTGAGAAGAAGCTCGACGATAAGAACGCAGATGTTGCTGAATTTTTGCAATTAAAATCCATAATCACTACTTTTCAAAATAATAGCTTGGATAAAAATGGCTTCAAAACGCAAGTAGATATCGGACAGAGTTTCTTTATCGAAGCACATGTTCCCGATGCATCCACGATTCTGTTAGATGTTGGTTTAGGACACTATGTGGAATTTTCTCTGAACGATGCTTTAACGATCATTAATGTGCGAATTAAACTGCTAGAACAGCAGATTGCACATTTCCGCAAGGAGGTAGCTAAGACAAATGCTCACATTAAACTAATTCTCCTTGGTATTAACGAACTACAAGGTTTCGAAGACTAAGTCGATGATAATATTAGTACATGTATAAAGTGTTTTGTAGAAGACAATGCCTATTGTTTTATATAAGTTTGTAATTTCACTTGTGTATATAGGTTCGAGCCAAATGTCTCTGTACATATGAATACATTATGAATAAACATTGTTTGCACGTTCTTAAATTTTTGTTCTTTCACTGTTTTCTACTTTGTGACTGCTTTGCATAATTTACCTGATAATCTAATTTAATGCAAACCCCTGCCTGTGCTCCATTAATTTACTACTGCGAACGGTCCGCTTTTGTTTCCTCGTTAAGCGCAATTGCCTGAATTTACAAGGACCTTGTACTTTGCTTATATACGATAGAGGTCAATCGCAATCGGATCAGTACGTTCTTCGCTACAAGCTGTTTTCTTATATTCGCGGCGCTTTCTGGCGCGAAGCGTTCCTTTAATGTCGGATTGGCGTAGCACACCATGCGTGGAAAGACACAAACAATTTCTGGAGAAGCTTGCCGCGGCCTTGATCGATTACACCTTCCAAAGTGTGTCTCGTGAGAACCCCGTATTGAGATGGAGGGAACCAGGTCATTTGCGGAACATCATAAATTTCGATTTGGAAGACGAGCCACGAAGTCAGGATAATCTGTTGGAAGTCGCGATTAAAATTGTCAAATACAGCGTTAAAACGGGTCATCCTTACTTCATGAATCAGTTGTTCTCTGGGTGAGACGATCAATGCATGAGTTTCGATTAGGAACAATTACAAGCTTCGCATGCCTCTTTTTACGAATTTCAGAATGTATGATTTGGCGAAACTTTGAATCTGTTAGAAATTTTAAGAATATGGACAAGATTGATTTTCGTTAATCCTCGAGTAGATAAATGGAGGTCTGTTAGATTCTCAAATTGTTTCGCTTTTAATAATAAAATTCAATATTTTTACTTCGTTAAATCGTTCTTTTTTAGTATGAAATATATTACAATTTATTTCAATATTGTGTGATTTTTAAGGTCCGATCTTGAGATTTGAATAAAATCCACTGTAATTTTTTTGTAACCGATTTTATAATATACTAGAGTAACCCTGCCCGCGTTGCTGGACAATACAATAACATACGTTTAATTTTAATGTGAAAATAAGTGAAATATTACAAATGTCAATGCTCGCACTGTAAACTGAAATGACAATCAATAAACACACAGAAATTAAATAAGTCAAATGACGCGAGCAAGCAGAGCCTTATACCGACAAAATGTAATTCGCATAAGAAAAAAAATACATTTTATATAGGGAAAACAGACCATCATAAAAGTGCGCGTATAACGCATATTCGTAGAAATTTTTCGATGTTTTTTTTTTATAAACCATCAGTGAAAGTAGATCTTTCCAACGCATGTACTCGTTTGAAAATCGGTTGAGTGGTTCTCGAATTATAAAATCACGAACATAGGACAACTTATTTTTATATATATAGATTATGAATAAAAATACTATATTCCATAATAATTTATATAATTTCTCTAGTTTGGAATATTTACAGATCTTAATTAATAAAATGAATTTTATCCGATTTATCATTAAAGAAAATATTTGTGGAAGCTTACAATACTGTTATTTTTTGTTTTACATTGTATAATGCGAAAGTTTTTCGATACCAGTATCATAAAATTTATAGAACACGTCTTAATTCGAAAAAGAAAAATGTTTTTTCATGGAAGAACTATTTTTCAAGCTTAATAAATTATTTTCAAATACATCACGTAGGAAATAAATATCAATTTTGAAAAATAAATAATTTCGTATTTAATCGATTAATTTATGATACAATGTACCCAATCCAGCCTTAGTGTTGGGCTTAAACCGGATCGAATGATCATTATTCGAATCCAGACGGTCTTGAAAGTCTTGGTCGATTTTGAAACTTTTGATCGGTCTCGCAGTCTTGATAGGCCTTGAAGTGTTGATTGGTAATGGGAGCCTTGATCGGTCTTAAATTCTTCACGAGTTTTGGAACTTTTAATTCAGTTTTATTTATAGATTCAAGAAGCTTTCTTTTGTTTTTAAAAATACGTATAATGTACTTTAATCATTTGTGTATAAACATAAATTAGACAATATTTACAAATCTGTACAGTACTAATTTGTAGACAATAACTTAATCATTTCTGTATAAGAAACAACTTATTATGTTTAAGGTACATAATTATAAATATAAAAATTTATTAAATTTTTTGCATGTTGTCATATCTTTGGAAACACAAAAGATCTATGAATGCAAAATGTTCCAGACTTATTAGAAGTTTCAAAATCTATAAAAAAGTCCAATCGATACTTCAAAACGAAAACGATTCGAATTTTCACAGTCTTGAAAGTTTCGAATCTTTTGCAAGACTTTTCATTGTTATCGTAGTTAACGTACGTATCTATTTGCATACAAATTTTTATTTTACAACTAAAAATATTTGGAGATAGTATCGATGATTTTCTCATAAGTACTGAATTTTTGTATCGTTTAAAATGATTCGAAAGAATGAAACTGATGATAATTCAATGACATTGGGTTAAAGCAAACTGCTGAATGGTTAGTTACTACTCAAACTGAATTACGTATCCTCCGTCGAGCACCTCTTTCGTCAAGAAGTGCAGCCATTTTGTCTTTAAATGTAGTGTTTAACTTGTGCAAATGTTGGCAATACCTTTCAGAGCTAATGGTTTTACCCTATTTTAAAAGTTCATAATGAACTAGACGTTCTGTTTTTAATCATACACAGTACGTAACTTCCTTTTTCGGTTTGCAACATATTTTTTCCCTTAATACACTCATGTACTGTTTCCATTTCTTATCTGTAATAAACAATTACTAAAACACAGCTTGATATTTCAACGAATTCTTATTTGATCGAATTAGTATATCTCTAATTCGTATGGAACTTAAATGTTTTATTTTAACTGATTCGTTGGTAAAGTTCGAACGTTTAGCAAGCGGAATGTGTTTGGTAGACGCGTTTAGTAAACATATTCACGTCCATAAGCTCTTAATGCACAAATGCAGTGTTTCATTGAACATCTATAGCTATTGATAATAGTGAAATGATTGAAATAAATTCATTAACCAATCAAGTTTGATGAAATCCAAAACCTTTGTATCTATTGTACTTCGAAGATCTTTATTAATAGCAACGAATAATAAACTCGAGTGACTTTAATTCGAGTGTCTTTTAATTTGAAAAATCTGGTGAGAAAATATACAAAAGTTTGAATTAAGAAAAACGGCCGCCATTTTGAGCATTCATGCTGAAGCATGTTTTGAATGACTTACAATTTAAAAACTGAGTATCTCTGAAACTAACAGTTTCCGGACTACATTTGTTATGACTCTGTTGTTTGTTTTATAGAGTTCACCTAAACGCCTTTTTGCACGTATAGCTTATTTACACTTTATACACGAATAGATTTATTTGATGTAGGTTGGATCCCTACGGTTTAGCTGGACAATGGCTCACCGACGCATTAAACTCTTCGGTGTATACATACGAAGTGGCGCCGGTCTTAACACTGATGGAAAAAAGCTTGATCACAAAATTACTAAGTATGTTTTATAAAGAAGAAACTGGTATTACGACCGGAGATGGCCTCTTTTGTCCAGGTGGTTCCTTTTCCAATGGCATTGCCATTAATTTGGCCCGGTTTTGGTTCAAGAAGAAAAGTCAAAGTGTGAGTACTTAGAAAAGGAATACTTTCGATATGAAGTTGATTGACCAGAAAGGAAATGAAATCAGTCGAAATCTTTTTTCAAAATATATAATTTCATTCTATAACTTTGCAATATTATACTAATCGAAAGTATAGATTGTCAATTTTCAATATATAAAAATTCTTCATGTTTCATCTTATAAATTGTGACTTTTGATTTTTCTTTTTTACGTATTACATTAAAAAAAAAAAAAAAAAAATAGTAATTAAAGTATATTTCTCTACAATATTAAAATAGCACTTCCATTGTATACGTATTTAATTTATATTTTGGAGAACAATAATTATATGATATAGCAATTTCTACTTATCGAATGTTTTTATTTCAGAATAAAAGCGTACCATCTTCGAATTTAGTAGTTTTCGCATCAGAAGATGCGCATTATTCAGTTTCAAAATGGGGGAACGTTTGCGATGTGGAAGTTATTCTCATAAAGAGCGACGAGCAAGGTAGAATGGATGTTAACGATTTGAGAGCTAACGTAATTGAAGAACAAAAGAAAGGGAATTACCCGATTTCTGTCAGTGCTACTGCAGGTACGTTAAGAGACTATGTATATAAAATATTCACGTGCAAAAATGTGGAAAATTATGTTGTACAAAAGATTATATGTTAACGATTACGTATTGCTAACAAATTACGTTCATTTTCAGGAACGACTGTGTTGGGTGCCTTTGATCCGCTAATCGAAATTGCCGACATTTGTCAAGAATTCGATATGTGGCTACATGTAGATGCAGCCTGGGGAGGTGGTTTGATATTCAGCAAAAGGCACAATTCCCTTTTGCGGGGAATCCAAAGAGCAGATTCCATTCTGTTTAATCCCCACAAATTACTAGCTGTCCCTCAGCAATGTTCATTGCTTCTAACTAAACATCAGAATATTTTTAAAGAAGCACACTCTAAGCAGGCTTCCTACCTCTTTCAAAAAGACAAATTCTACTCCACAGATTTAGATGTTGGGGATAAGTACTTGCAGTGTGGTCGCAGACCAGATGTGTTGAAGTTTTGGTTTATGTGGAAGGCTAAGGTAACTTTATATAAAAATGAAATATTTAATGCTATCTACTATCTGTTTGTCGACAATTGCTTAGCTTATTCCCTGCATGAAATACTGTTTATGCAAAAATTCTCATTCCTTGAGTATCGTGCAGTGTTTGGCATGACATGCCCCGGACATAAGATAAGACCTATCCGCATGCTATGGAGGTTCCTCTGTTCCCCTTATTAATCTTTAAGTGTTAACCACTTATGCAAATTTGTAGAAAACTAGCTTTGGTAGCACTTTTTCCCCTGACCTTCCTTTAAATGTGCATCTTGTACTTTGAGGCTTAAGCTGCAGCTGCAGTGTACTCCGTAGAAGTTAAGGGTCTGTATGCTATGTTTCAAGTGTTTGCCAGTATACTTATGCATATATTAACTTCCCCTGATACGAATAAAGAATGTTCATACTGCACCTATTCGTTGGATTTTCAAGATCATAAAAGAAGCTCCTGAAATTCTCAAGGAGGTCTGTTGATAGCAGTGCATTTAGACCAGGAACTTTCAGAGTTCCTGTCTGTTACTCAAGCATCATCAGACTATTATTTTCAATGCTTTGTTTTAAATCATACTTTCTTATTATTTATAACATAAAGACGTTCACAAGAATACTATTTCCATACATGTCAAAATTCAGGAGCTACTACTTTAGTCAATCTTTCATAATTTAACAAGATATTAAGACAGTCGTAAAATAAGATTAAGAGAATACATTAAGGTATTAAATGTATTACAATTAAATACATAAAGATTCGAAATTTGTTAATAACATACAAATATTATCAGTAATAATGCCCATTTTGTGTGAAGTAATATGTAGTTCACAATGTTCTCATAAGATGTCATTTTAGTATAATGCATTATATAAGATTAAGCATATGTTACTAACTTTTATTGTTTAATTATAAGCAATCTGTAGTAAATGCATTGGCTGCTTTATTATTTGAATCACTTCATATATTGATAAAAATTACTTTTTCGAGTATTTATTTGTATGGTTGGTAAGTGAGTTCTGTTTAAGTCCGTTGTCCATGTTATTTTGTTTTAGGGTGCTTCAGGTTTTGAAAAACACGTCGATCATTTAATGACTCTTTCGGCTCTGTTCAAGGAAGAAGTTGAAAATAGAGATGGCTTTGAATTAGTGATAGATCCGTGTTTTATAAATGTGTGCTTTTGGTTCATACCGCCATCTTTGAGAAATCAACATTCAACGTATAATTACAAGGAAAGATTAAACGACGTAAGTAAAATAAAGTTTTTTAATTATAGTTACAGTTTGATGTGACAATATTAAAATGACACATTTCCCACTGTGATAAAAAGAATATAACATTTAATCGTAAAATATTCAAGTGGTACGTTTTATTCATTGTATTGAAGATGGAAGAAAATGTTCGGTACCAGACAAAATAACGAGTGTTATTTAAAACTATTATGTAGAATATTAAATGAAACCAAATTATGGTATCAACTGTGAGTGATCACAATAGGAATTATCAAATTTTAATAAAGGATTTACAAGTATAGGTCAAAACTACATACTAAATAGGTGATTTTTCTTTGATGGTATTGAAAAAACAATTTTTGTTGATAGATTCTCTAGATAGATGTTTCAAAATAAATATGGAATTTAAAACACGATGATATGGAAACTAAATTTTGAAAAACGATTCATTCTTGCTATTTTTTTTATTTTTTTTACAAAGTTACCATACCGACAGTAGATATAATAGAAAATTGTATTATCGTTTACAGATATTTTACTCTCGTTATCAACTGTAGGTATTAAACTCGATCGTTCAAGTGAATTTCGTTCTTACTAGCAATCGATAAGAGAATCTAATTTTTGTAAAATTGATATCAAAATGTTTATATAATAGAAAAACTCATATTTCAGGGCAAATATAAGTTCAACGTATTAAATTTTCATAAAACAAAACAACAAATATTTAAAAAAAATTATGTTTCCCAATCAGGTCGCGCCGAAGTTGAAAGAGAAGATGACCAAAAGAGGCAGTTTAATGATCAATTATCAACCACTTCGTGAAAGGCCAAACTTTTTCCGTTTCGTGATACAAAATTCAGGAGTAGATACCCAGGACATTTATTACGTTTTTGACGAGTTGGAAAACCTCGGAGAGTCCATTTGAATTTATACATGGCGCACGAATGTTATTACATACACACAGTTCTGTGTTAAAAATAAGCCAATTATATGTTATGTATGTGTATAAATCACGTTACAGTAAAAAAGGAGAATAAAATTTAAAACTAAAATCAATATTAGTAAAAGGAAGTTTTGTTTTTGTTTGGTTATTTTCCAACAACTTTGTTTACGTACGTTGCAACGCTGCATTAATAAAGAATAATACACGTTTCGATTAAAAGTTTTTCCCTAGGTTCGGTAAAAATGTCGGTTTTATCCGGTTATCCACGAACGAAGTAACAAATTCTAGCCACGACAATCAATTCCGCTGGGTTAACTAGGCGAAACCTAGCAGTCAGTTGATCTGATTAGGCGAGGGACCGCCACTAAATTTCTGATGCCAAGGTACGAAGTCAATTCGTGACTGCCTTCGTCGCAGAGCCCGCGGCGTTGCAACGTACCCACCGACTAATCCTGATACAAGTGACAGCATATAGAGAAGCCCTATGTATATTTATAGAACTGCGTTGGTACTATGTAGAACATAATGATTTGCAACCATGGCTGTAGCTCATTCTATCGAAACGGGCGCCTTTCGGTGTTGTTTTCGAACGAACCTTTCCATAACAAAGAATTCATTGCAATTTAATATCCGATTATTTTCCACCGATCGTATCGCAGCATGTTTTCCACTCAATGATTATTTAAATTAAAAACACTCGCAGAAACAGACATTTATTCGTTTCAAAATGCGTTTCCTATTTATTTACTTCGAAATCCATGATCGCGAAATATGTTTCGAAGCGTGTCGTTCGAGTTCGTTAAAAATTATATCGCGGTAAATAGAAGAGATCGATTTCACAATCGTACTGAGTTTAGCACGAAGATAGAAATATTTTTATTTTTTTTTTGACGCGTACCTTTACGCGGAGGATTATCCAACAGAATGAGATTACTTCGACACGTTCGTCGTCTTTGAAACACTTACTACATTTTTGTGGCTTTTCTACCTAAACTTTATTGTTCGTTTAGTATGTTCGCGGTATACGAACGTAGCGTTTTAATTATACGATAACCAGTTCCATCCTATGACGCGATGTATGGTTTAAGGCTTTTAGAAAATGATGTTCTTGGATAATTCAGGAAAATAAACTATACATGGGTTTATATAAATTTTGATATTGTATCCAGAATTAAAAGATATTTTATTTAAAATCTTGTCGATAGTTTCATAAATTATTATTTACTTTTCTTTCCCTTTTCACATTTTCCATACATATTATTACTTTCATACGGTATATATGTTTTAGATTTTTAAGATTCTGTATTGTTCCTGAAGAGAACCACCAGAGTGAAATTGAAACATTTAATATGAAAATTTAAATATAAGGCTGTAAAATGTGGAATAAAATTTTTTCATACAAAATTTGTTTTTCGAGAAAATTGACTTTGAAAATCGGTTACATGTTCGATAGAGTACGATTGCAAGATCAGCGAAAGTAGAAATAGTAAGTAATAGACAGACGCGCTAGAAAAGTCGGGTCCAGTCGGAGAAACTCTCAAACTGAATTATTTTGGAAATGAAGCATTATATGTTGTTGAATTTTTTAAAGCATTTCTAAACTTTTGTTAGATAGATTCTAGATATTGTATAATAAATGTTTCATAGAAGCAGTTTTTTCATATCTTTTCTTGGAAAAACAATACACACGTATCATTTGATCACATAATATTATGCATGATATAATATGTTGTTGATATACTTATTTGGAATAAAAGGTATAATTAGATTCAGTTTCTGGAACTTCTATTTATCTGCTCCCGTCGGTACTTATACAGTGACAACTTTTTTCTGTTTAAAACAGATTCTTTTTATCTGTTTAAATGGAACCTCTTAAAAAACTTCCATAACAGTTTAAATGGAACCTATTAAGAAAGTTCCATAACTGTTTAAATGGAATCTATTAAAAGTTTCATAACGGTTTAAATGGAACTTATTGAAAAAGTTCCATAACTCTTTAGATGACCAACATATTGGAAACTATGTTATAATTATTTCGATCTTTTGTAGCAATTAAGAGTTCTTTTTCATCTTCGTATAGGTAAAATTTTAATTTTCTTTCAAAAAATACAAACAGTTTCCTTCTTTTTAAATTCAAAACTCTAATGAATCGATAATTTACTCGCGGAATAACACTAATTTCATCTATAACTTCCTTGGACAATTCAAAGATTCATTTATACATATATATTTATTACGTTAAACTATTTTAAATTTTACACGATTTCATTGAAATTTTCTTACTCGTTACACGTCGAATATTTCCACGAAATTTATTTTTTTTCGTGTTTATATTTTTCTATGTAAAATTTTAATTGTTCGTAAGGACTATATATCTCTTATTCCTATATTTTTAACTACTAATTTGAAAGACTTCTCTAACTGCAATAAAATAAATAATTTTTGGTTCAAGTTTGTTGTATTTCCAATGAAGGTTTCAGTGAAAATTGAAGTAGTATTTGTAACGAAAATTTAAAAAATTCCACGTACACTTAAGCAAAATTATTTAACCGGTTGCAAAAATAGTACCTGGTCTGTTATTTCATTTGACGATGGAAGCAGTTTGGCAATTTCGTTCCTTCTTTAATAAAGCATCACGAAGTCCCATAGATACATATACGTATACTTCAAGAGTGGTTTTATTGCACGGATTTGCATTTCAGCCACGATAAACCGTGTTATTGAAACGCTTATTATTTAATGATTGCTATCGTTGAATAGAACGTGTAATTCTGACAAACAATTCGAAATGCCTGTATGCATAATTAACAATAAAAATAAGGGTAACGATCATGGTAATCGCGTGGAGTTTTCGATCGTCAAAAGTCATGAGATTCCGTTCCACAATTGCCTATAAATTGCAAAATAGAACGAACCCCCGTTAACATAATACGAGCCCCGAAAGCCTGTTGTATAAACATGCCAATGTAATTCTCTCACACTTCATCGTTTTGTTTTCGACGGGCCGTAACCTGTAATAGAATTAAATTCATCTGACGCGTTATAATCATCCAGCTCCATTTTCCGCCGATATAAATTACCTCTTTCTCTTTCAAGGTCGAAAAACGTGAAAGTATTCTTCGATTATTAATTTAATAATGACTTTGGTTATTTTATTTCACGGTTATTTCGCTTTAAAATACAGGTACTACGTGTTCCAAAAACCTTTTAAAGATAAAAAAGAATCTTAAATATATTTTAATTACAAACAATTTTTTTAACGCATGAATTTGTATTATATTATTCGTTGACAATTAATAATCGTGAGATAAATTACATAAGCGTTTCGTACCACTTTTTAGGTCTTCCTCGGATTTCACAAATATGTTCGAAAATATCTAAAGTAAATGATATTAAATTTATTTTATTTTACATGTTTTTCAGAACAGTTTTTAATCCAAAGAAGACCCAATATTGTGGTCGAAAATGTGTACGTTGTTTCATGAAGAATTAATGAATAATACGAATTGCTTGCATTGATTTTGATTTCAATGGTATTTAATAATTTCATGAACCAGATTCTATAGGCAATACGATTAGTACACTGTTGATTCTAATGCTACAAAATTAGATTGACAAAAGATAATTAGAATTCCGTTCATTGCTCAATTAAAGTGATTTTAAAATATTAGAAATCTGGAGCACGATATTATCATTAGTATTTAAAATGTTAAATTCAATTTCGTCAATTCTATGTATTCCAAATAATATTTTTTAAAATAAATGTATCGAACGTTGTAGAAAAACATTCGTCGTTTCAATTTTAAATTAAGTTTGTCATTGTTTAAGGATTTTAAAAGAAAGTTCGTGTAAAACCAAGTCGAATACGATTATTTCAAGAGTATTTAAAAATAAGAAAAGTAATCAAATGGTTCCATTATTTTTGCTTCATAAATTTTACTTCAATATTAACGATTTCTTCACTAAGATTTAAAAACAAGGAAAATAACTCTTATTTCAAACTATGTGACGATTTGTTTTACTCTAAATAACCTTCAATAGCCACACGTAACTATTATTTTTTATTTTCAAATTAGTTATTATTTCAACTTGAATGAAGCATCTTTAAAACATGCAGAGAAAATCGTACACGAATTTTCTCCAGCAATTAAGAACAAGGAAGCTAGTTCCATTAGTTTATGCCGATAAATTGGTGTTTCGAAGCGTTGCACGAAATCATTATTATAAATTTCAAATTTATGAATTTTCTGTTGGCGTGGTTCGATGGAAAGTGTAACGATCAGACGTAATCGATAGTAAATATGCAAATAATATGCTTCACTGTACAGGTCTTGAACGTGTTTCTTTATCGTATTAAGATAGGGTGTGCGAGAAACCCTTTGCAGGGAATCGGGCTTGTGTGTTACGTTCCTGTCTCCGAGTCACTGCTAGGGGTGCTTGCCCTGCAGATGAACTTAGACAGTAGGCTGCTGCCGCGAAAGACGGTGTTAACGTCGATAGTAACCATTCGAAGCGTTCACTAACCCGAATGTCAGTCGATATCTGCAAACTCGATGGCCAGGATGGGAAAGGTCTCCCAATTCACGTGTCACAGGTACTTCTTTTTCATTTCTTCGACCATCTTGTCGACAATCCAAAGCTTTACTGCCAATTGACCACTCTTGTTTAGAAAATTTCAAAATTACATCGCGCCTGTTAACAGTAGATTCCTTATGTTCCCGTAAAAAGCTTGTAAAAAATAGAGATTATCGCGTAGTAGTTTCTACAATCTACTATTTTAATGCATTATTAAAATACAAGGTGTAGAAACGAGTTTCGATCGATCACGTAAAAAGCTTCTAGAAAATTGAGAAATTTATTATTGAGTACTAGTTTCTACAATTTACTTCAATGCATTATTAAAATACAAGGTGTAGAAACGAGTTTCGATCGATCACCAGTACTCGCCGATACAAGAGAATATTTTCCATAAATCATTTGTATCGGATTTATGAAGTATTACGAATGCTCGAAAAAGTATCTTCGTAAAATTCCGTACACGTCGCGCGATTACTTACGTGCATTCATTGCGCATTAAAAAAAAATGGTTTGAAGCAACCTATCACTGTAAAAACATAATTGAAGTTATGGTTACGAATACTAGTGCCTTATGAAGAAGCTGTATTTCAGTTTTTATTAATTATCGTCAATTTTTATGCTTGTATCTTCTTTTATATTCTAAACTTTGTTATTTCTTATTTGGAAATATACTACGAAATTTTTATAGTGTCTGTGAAGCTTTGGGTTAGAAATAATTTTATTGCTTTTTCAAACGTTGATAGTAAAACTAATAAACGAGTATTTATTTCATAATTTTATCATTTTTCTTAAATACACAGTTTTACAATTTTAACTGTGCATCGATGCATCGTTAGAGATGCAATCGTTTAAATGGTTCGTCCTTCTCGTGTCGTTCAGAAGATCTACCTAATATCACTTAAATTATCGACAATTATAACACACATTCTTTTCCAAGCTTTGTCTTCGTTTGATCGATTAATTTTCACGTTTAAACGTGATTTTAACTACAGCTTTCTTTTGTGTTTTTGTCGTACGTGTGATAGTGTATCCGATCCACATTCGTAGGCATTATTATTAATTCATTTGTCGTTTTATGTTTTATCGTGATTATTTCCTGTTATCGACCACTGCATTGTCCGAATTCTCCGATATCTTCACTACCTGAAGAACGTGGGATTCCTGGAAACGTATCGTTACATCATGGAGGACGCAGCAGGTCAGTCTTAAAATTTACTTTAATAATACATTTTTTCTGCAATGCATCTGAAGTGTATTTATAATTTGTTTTATCAATAGTCTATCCTACTTTTATATTCTGCAGTAATAAGATAATAATGATGCATAATATTATTGAATTTAATTTATTTTGTTGAAATGTTGCTTCTAAATGTAAAAAGTTTGTGAAAATTAAGGTTTTTGTACTCCACCACTATGTTTGTACTAGAGTTCTTTTCTCAGCACGTACCTAATATTTGAAAAATATTAAAAAAAGCTTTTAATCGCTTTTACGAATAAATTTTCGATCTCATACAAAGCATCTATAGAACGTAACGGATGGTATTAGAAAACAAATTTTTGCAAGTTTTATTGTTGGAATTAATGTAATTAATTTATAATATTTGGGTTTTTCCATTCCTTTTTGTAATAATTGTTATACATATACTGATATTCTCATGAATTCTATTAATTGTTTATAGAAGGTCTATATACTCTGTAGCTAAGAAATTTGGAAAAATCCTTTGATATTTATAGATATATAGTTATGAACTGATAACTGTTCAACGTATGTATCTATTTGTCTAATTTGAAAATTAAAATTTTTTTTATTCGGTATAGTTTTAAGGCCAGGACTGGATTTGTGCAGAGCACCCTGTATATGATTGAAGATATCGGTTTAACACATTTAACACATTCGCGGTCAGAACGTCTATAGGCACCGTCTGCCAATTTATACACGATTGAATGTCTAATGACGTCATGGACATTTAACCTCTTATCGAAACGATGTGATCTTTATAAAAAATTAATGATGATAAATGGGAGTCTTGTCAAATAACTAATGAATAGTGTTACAATTTAGCTGTACAATCGTAGCTTAATTTTATTAATGTTAAAAGTTACGATCCCAGATTTGAAACATCTTCATCGATAATGGTCTAAATAATTGTGGAGCAAATAAAAATAACTGTGTGAAACAAGAAAAACATCATTAAATAATGCAATTTAGCCATAAGAGTCACGAATGGTCTCTTGGTGTTTGTTTACTTATCTTACAAATTTATAAATTTAAAAACTTTTTTTAAAGATATTGTAGAAGTTTTTACATTTTCACAAAATTTAAAAATTTTTGGTAAACTCCTTTTATCAATTTTATACAATATTTACAATAATTTGATAAATTTGTAAAGTTCAAAATTTTACATATTTATCGTTCGTTTCATGCTATAATTGTATTCATTTTTACTTTTTTTACAATTATTCAGTTCATCTTTACTGAACATGATCGAAATCTGGGGCCAATTAAACTATATTCATAAAGCTATACTGTCAAATTATTTATCAGAAACCACGAAAACCTATCTTATAATATTTGATATATATTTTCAATAAAGTGTTTGTATTGCTATATTAAACAGTATAGTGAATGAAAATTTACAACGTCAGAAATGAGTAACCTGGGTAGTTATCAGGATCATGACAAGTTAGGGGCAAAAGAGTCGCGTGCCATTGGACGCCATATTGTGAGAATGCAGTCAAACATCCTTTAAAGACATCCTTTACTTATTATTTTTTTTTAATCATTGTTTACTTGAAACTATCTTCTTTTATAGATCCTAGAGTAGCGGACTGGTTCTTAATGGGCAGCCCAGTTCCATTGTTAGGAATTACATCCCTTTATCTGGCGTTCGTTCTTCGTCTTGGTCCACTTTATATGAAAAACCGAAAACCGTACAGCTTGAATAGAGTAATGATTTTTTACAACATCTTTATGGCAATCGCGAGCGCTGCGGTATTCCATGGGGTGAGTTAATTAAATACGACTAATTTCACGCATGACTTCAATATTTCGTAGCATAGTTTAACTATTCGATGCATTTAGATCATGATTCTAACAGAACTACACACAAATATGGAAAATGGACGATACATTAGTAATTAAAGGAATACTGAGTAGTATTTAGCCCACTTACTGCTAATTTATTGTGTCTTCAAAACTGATGTCTAATCGAAATTTAATCTAATATCTTAAAATTTCGACATGCCTTATAAAAAAAACATTGGCATCCACCAATAATGAAATATTTTTACAGTATCCGGTGTAAAACAACAAAGAATAGTATCATGAGCTTATACAAATATTTTTTTTTAGTGAAAAATCATAATAACGTAAAATAGAACAGGTTTTATCAATTAAAATTTGGAAATATTCTAGATAAAAAAAATCAAATAAACTATTACTGACTGTAATATTTTTGTTTACTTAAAGATTACAAACTGTTATAGTATAGAGGAACTGCAGCATATTTAGAATATCAATTTGTTTAAGATGAATAAAAAATTTAACTTCAAGTTTAAATTCAAACTTTCAATTATAACGAATAACGAAAAGTATTTAAAACTTTGCTCTAATCGAAAACTGACAAAAAGTGACAATTTTGAAATTTGCAGTATTTCAATTAATCAATTTGTATTAAGAACTAATAATTTAGTGTAATTAATTTTTTTCATTTAAAAATGATAATTTGTGTCTTTTTGGTCCATAGGTGCATAATTTTTCTTATACAGAATACAGCTTCAACTTTAAACTAATATTATAAATATAGATCATTTTTTATTTCTACACTATTATCAAACATAAAATTCATTGAATTTTACCACTTTAAAAACCAAATAGCCACTAAAGAAAGCTATTTCGTGCTGAAAAAAGTTTGGGAAAAACTGTTTCATTTTACATTATTTCGTTACAAAATTTTATTGCCCTCGTCTGTTGATTTTCGGCCACCTAAAATATTTAATGTTTTTTCAAATTTTTAGCTGCTCACTTCAGGATTTACTACAAGATTGTCCCTAGGATGCGAGTCTCACACTGTTTCGTACGATCCTGAATCTCTTCGCGTAAGTAGAGAGGACTTTTTGAAAACGCAAATCTGAGTATAAGAGAGTCTCTATTATAAGAGTTGTTTTGTATTTAATAGATGGCTCGATGGATATGGAGGCTCCTAATATTGAAAGTCTTCGAGCTCAGCGATACCGTCATTTTCATTCTGAGAAAGAAATACAACCAAGCATCCTTCCTTCACGTTTATCACCACACGTCGACCGTTTTACTTTCGTGGATAGCGTGTAAATTTGTTCCAGGTAAATCGTTTCGGATTTTAGTTAGCTTCTTTCATGTTTAATCTCGTTCATTTATACATTTACCTATTCGGGGATACTAGCAAGGACACAGACACTGTGTGTTTAGTATGCACGTCATTTTACATATTCTACGGTCGAAATACCCAATAGTATTCTGATCAAATATTCCAAAATAAATTTCACCACAATAGAACACAGTAACCATGTCATAAGTGTGGACAAAAATTAAATTTTCTCAAACCTAATAAGGAATTATTTAATTTTTAAAAAATTATTACAATTATTCAAATAATTAGTAAGGAAATACATTCTTTCATATACGTTTCTGTATAAGCGAGACGCATCTTAAATTAAATTATTCCTGGATCAGATTATTGACAGTACCCATGTCATAAGTGTGGACAAAAATTAAATTTTATCAAACCTAATGAGTTATTTAATTTTTAAGAAACTTTTACAATTATTATTAGTATGGAAACACATTCTTTTATTTACGTTTCTATATAAGCGAGACGCGTCTCAAATTAAATTATTTCTGGATCAGATTATTGAAACATTACATCATATTTGAAAAAAGAATTATCACTCGATAGAAACGACACACCTTGTTAGAGATAATAAAAAAATACAAATTGAAGTTTTTCCAAAGAGTACATTCTTTTTCACGATTTATCGCGCGACGATCGAACTTTTATTCGCATCGAATTTCCAGGAATCCGTTCAAAACGATGAATTCTATTATTTTCAGGCGGCATGTGGACGTTCGCGATTATGCTAAACTGCATAGTGCACGTGATTATGTACACCTATTATCTCCTTGCCTGCTTGGGCCCAGAAATGCAAAAGAGGATCGCACCTTGGAAACAATACATTACGGGATTACAAATGGTACGTTTCCATTTTCTATCTGACTTCACTATCTGGTACGTTGCATACAGCCCGCAATGCATATATATTCTCGTGCCGCTCGTTGCGCTGACTGAATTGCCGTGCTGGGAGCGTTATTCGCTCATTTCACCGTACACGCCGCGTATCGCGTAATCGTAAAATTACATTTCGTCGCGCGGCGAATTTTTCAAAAGCAGAATTGCTATTGACGTTTGACCGACCCGCAGCGAACCCTGTACAAAGTAAATTAATCTAAGCCAACAATGGCCAGAATGGAAAACAACGAGCAACGGACGACATTTTCGTAGAAACGCCGCCATTGAACGGATAACGATGAACGGAACACGCGCGATAATACGTTTTCCTGGTAAAAGTAAAAGCAAAAGGGAATAAGGATGGTTACAAGTTCTGTCACAAGATGTTTTTAAAATACTTTTTATTCAATCTCGTCACAAGCAAATTTGGGAAGTTTAGCTTAAAATTTAAATTTAATTCAAAACGTCTCTAGTTTGAGTTAGCTTCAAACTAACAAAATAATATAAAAAAATTGTATAATATCAAAAAGTAAAAGCAAATTTGAAAGTAAGCTATTTCAAAGGTCATACTGAAACGCCACCATTTACCATTTTCATGGTAAAAGTAAAAGCAAAAGGGAATAAGGATGTTTATAAGTCACACGATGTTTTTAGGTGTCTTTGGTTGCGCATGAGACAACAAAATTTAGTGTCTCAATCGTTTTTATACATTCATTTTTACAGTACCTATTCTTTCAATTAGTTAAAGTAAATGGAACAAATAAGTAGCTATTTAAAAAAAAATCATTTTAATTAGAAAGTACTATTTGCCAGAATAGCTATCAAATTAATTAAAAAATTCATAATAATCATTTATTTTTTAAATTTCAGTCCAAGAAATTAATAAAATTAAAGAGTAAAATGTGTTGAAAGCCGTATAATCTTATAACCTTTGTTAGTTTTAGTAATTAGTAAGGAAATCACTCTTCTAAGGCATGTTTTTTTAACATTAAAAAACATCATGCTAAGTGTTTGATAACTAGGACATGCTCGAATACACTATCTTTTGTTTTGGCCTACTTTCCTATTTAGGGAATGAAATTACCTTTGAAATTTCATAAGGAGAGGTACAAATGCTCCTGTTACATTGTTAGCTTAAAAAAAAAAGATGTAAATTTAATTTACGTCATAACTTACTGTATGAATGATTTTTTGTCAATAGTCATCCTCATCGGGGTTGCGAATTCTTTTATATTTTTCTAGCATTTTCTATGCATATTTAAATGACTAAGAATAGTTAACCACCTGATAAGAGTGAACGACAATAATATAATTCACATAGTTATGACGTGAATTAAATTTACGTCAATATATAATAAAATAGAAATTATTGTATTTGTTTTTATAAACTTCAAGGGGTGGTTTCACTTGAATACAAGTACGTGTTCAATATTTCTTGATGTTCTAGAATCATTGTTTCAAATGTTTCAAACCAATCAGAGAAGAATAGCTAAAAACATTAGTATTGAGCTGTTGTAATAAAATAAAATACCTTCTATTCAATCTTGTAACAAGCAAAGAGAAGTTTAGCTTATAATTTAATTTAAAACGTTTCGACTCTAATTCGAGTTAGCTTCACACTAATGAAATAATATAAAAAAGTAAAAGTAAATTTGAAAGTAAGCTATTCCAAGAGTCATACTGTAAAAATGTTAGCGTAAAATTGATGAAAACGAACGAAAAAAGAACACAAATGAAATTAGGCATACTAAATTGTTACGAGGAATGCAAATTATAAAAATATGGGTTTCTTACAAAGTGCACGATATTCTTAGTTTCAAATTACAGTGCAAGTGTTTTCTTGAAATAGATTCTGTAGGTGAGCAGAAGTGAGAGAGACACTTAAAATTGTGGTAACGTCACGCGTTAACACGAGTGAGAATTCTTTTCTCTTTTGTCGAATGTGCAGCGAGAAGAAAGATCGAACCGATGGAAGAAAGAAAAAAGAATTCTCACTCGTGTCAACATACGATGTTACCACAGTTTTACTGCAAGAGTATCGTTCACCCCTACTCGCCCACACAATCTACATTAAAAAAAACTCAGACGTGGAAAAGTGTATGTTTCCGAAATCTAAAACTAAGAATTTTGCTTTGTAAGAAACAAATTTTTTTTATAATTTGTGTTCCTCGTAACAATTCATAAAGTCTAACTTCATTTGAGACCTCTTTTTTTCTTTCCTTTGTATCAATTTTCCTTCGTATCGTTAGTTAGAGAACAGAATTTTTAGTGAAAACATGCATAATAATTATTAGTCTTCTTTAATAATTAAATGCATCTCAAAATCATAGCACTGTATGTGTTATTTGATTACTATAACGCGTCTAGTAGTTCTCATAACATAACAAACTTTAAAACTGAGGCGTAACTTATCGATTAATTGAATTAGAAGACTCGAAATTCTATTTAACCCCAGATTTGAACGATTATCTTTTATTTCTACATATTCTACAGTTTAATAAAATAAAATGTCTGAATACTTAAATAAATCACTCAAAACGGTAATCGTTATCGATATATTCTAGAAAATGCAGCTTTCATATTTATTTTCATTATTTTTATCGTTTGTACCGCTGCGATAAGGAATTAATTAATTGCATACAAAATCATTGGAAAAGATCGACAGGTTCAAACAACGATGCAAAATTCAATACGTTTCACGTAACCAACTGTTACAGCTACAATGCAATTGTTCTTTATGCTTCTACAGGCGTGACAAGAATCGCAGATGAAATGCATACAGTCGTAAAATATAAATGCCAAAGGGGATGTAGAACCAACGCTTTTTTACAATAACGAAATACCACAAATAAATCCAGTTAAAAAAAAATCGATTTATTTCATTTTATACTTGGAATGTCGAATTCTATTGCAATCTGCCTAACATCGATATTAACATTAATGCGCTAAAGGCAAGAATTATAAAATGCATGTAACCTTCCTCGATTCTTTAAAAAAAAAAAATTTGATTCAACCTGTTATTTCGCATATTGATTTTAATATTTCACGCTGAAAATTCATCCAGTTTGTGAGAACGAGAGTGATGTATACTGGTAAACAAATTTCCGTACAAACGAATCGAGTTTATTGTTAAAATTACTATTATTTCCTACCGTGCTTGGAAATGTCATTTTTTTTTATCAGATTGTAGTCTGTGGAAATTCCACAATAAACGTTATATAAAACAGTAACAAATTCATGTTAAAAAAAGCTTTTATACACAGCGTAGCGACTAGGGTTACCAATCATACTTTTCTGAGAGAAAGTATACTCTTTCCGAGGTGGTAAAATAATGTACTTTTACTTTGCGCTTATCGAAGTCAACCGTATTCTTTTATTTTTATATTTACACTACAAGCTTTGTTCAAATTGATAACTACTAAATAATTTTATATATAAACATACATAATTTTGGTCTTTACCTTGTAATATTAATAACGTAAAATGATTGGTTACTTTTTCATAGCAATACACATAAAAATTCTCGCAAGCATAGTACATATTAATAATAAAATCGTTTATAAATTTTTCCTAGATTATGGAAAGTTTTTTGACCTAGTATAGTTGTATTCTAAGATTGAAAATAAGATTGTGGTAAGATTGGAGAATGTTTCTTTCAATTCTTCCCAAAATGGATCTTTTTTGCTTTCTATTATACAGGGTGTTCGGCCACCTCTAGCAAAAATTTTAATGAGCGATAGTAGAGGCCAAAATAAGACGAAAATCAAGAATACTAATTTGTTGGTGGAAGCTTCGTTAAAAAGTTATTAACGTTTAAAGTGCCGCTCTTACTGAATTTTTTTCTCGAAAATGCGCAAGATTTCGGGGGTATGTCTATTCACCAAAAATGACTGTAATTGAACCCTACAACCGAAAATAATTTTTCCACAACGATTTGCAATTTTTTAATTTTCTCGAATAATTTCACACCTTCTCTATTTTTTTTCTCGAAAGTGGGCAGGATTTCGTGGGTATGTCTAATGACAAAAACTGATTGTAATTGACCCCCGCAACCGAAAATAATTTTTCCACAACGATTTGCAATTTTTTTTCTCCGTTGAAAAATTTAGGCACCTAATTGGATTTTCAGTAAGGAATTTTTTTCTCGAAAGTGCGTACGATTTCGGAGGTATGTGTAATGATAAAAAATGATTGTAATTGATCCCCGCAACCGAAAATAATTTTTCTTAAACGATTTGAAAAATTTTTTTTCGCCGAAAAATTTCAGCACCTACTCGATTTTTTTTCTCGAAAGTAGATAGGATTTCGGAGGTATGTGTACTCACCAAAAATGATTGTAGTTGACCCCCGCAACTGAAAATAATTTTTCCAGAACGATTTGAAATTTTTGAATTTAATTGTTAATAACTTTTTAACGAAGCTTCCATCAACAAATTAGTATTCTTGATTTTCGTCTTATTTTGGCCTCAACTATCGCTCATTAAAATTTTTGCTAGAGGTGGCCGAACACCCTGTATAATATAATATACTGGGCGTACCGTTATTCGGGATAAAATCGGACAGAGGGCGATTCTTTGTGCAAAAATGAAACGTAAAGAGAGAATAAAATTTTTTCATACGAAGCTTCGTTTCCAAGAAAATCGAGTTTGAAAATTTATTAGGTACGCGTGCAGAGTTCGACTCTGACATCAGCGCAAGTAGAAACAGTGAGTAATGGACAGACGTGCCAGCGAAATCGTATTCAAACGCACGAGCATCCGATAAATTTTCAAATACAATTGTCTTAAAAACGAAATATTCATATGGCAGAATTTCATTCTACATTTTCTACTTAGATTTCTATGAGGAATCGCTCTCTGCCCAGTTATACTACGCATAACAAAACGCTGTGTGCATTGCAAATAAATTTTGAAAGTAAGAGTTACTTTAATAAATATGAGGAAATGGAAAGAAATTTATTTTATT